TCTCTCTCTCTCTCTCTCTCGAGCTGGCCTTGTTGCTCGACCATGTTTTGCGTTGCTTGAGCGCTCGCAATGAGTATGTTGCTGCCACTGCTTCGCTGTTGTTGCTGCGGCCGGTGCTGCTTGGATTGGGTTTGAATGGCTGACGTACTCTGTCTGGTCACGGTGTCTTTTGCTGGTTCATGGCGTGCTCGACCCTGCCTGGCCCCCTAAACTCTTCTGCATTGTTTTCCAGAGCTTACGGGCTGCCCCTTGCAGGTGTTATGGTGTCCAGCGTGCAGGCCTCGTGGTCGCAGCCTGGTGACACCGAAAGGATCATTGTACTGGAATTGGTTGAGGTAGCATGTTTGGATCTGTTCCGAATCTTTCGCAGAATTAGAAGTGCAAGTGAAAGAACGGTTAGCGGTTGGCGTTTGAAAGTTCGTTCGATCTCTCTGAGCAGCTTGTGCTTTCGTGCAGGCTGGACGCGCAACTCGCTGGGGCCTCATTCAACACATCACGAAAACTCCTGATTGAGACTTCAGGACACCGGTAGTCGCCTTCCCGTGTCCGACTTGTTGCGGCAGGTACGGAGATGCCCTGTTCGTTGGCCAATTCTTCGAGGAGAGGATGCTGACTGCTGCCTGTGGACCAGCAGACCTTCAGAGGCAGCGCTCCCGCACATTCCGGCTCAAGCTGCAACCCACGTCGTGGTACTAATGGCCCAATGTCCGACCTGCAACATCTGGTGGCTACGCTGGTAAGCCGGTCCGCAGCCATCGCAGTGCAGCGGGCTCTAGAGCAAGCCAGCCCTTCGGAGCTCTCCCTTTCTGCCCTAAGTGAGGCTTGGTACGATGTCTCGGACACCGAGAACGAGGCAACTTGTGCCGTTTGCTTGGAGCGGATCCATGGTCCGGGCAGCAAGCTGCCTTGCAGCCACAGCTTCCACACTGCCTGTATTATGGCCTGGTACGAGCACCGCGCACGAAGGTGCCAGCCCCATTCCGTGCAATGCCCTCTCTGCAGGCAGCTTCATGCTATGACTTGCAGCCCACCAGCGCAGTAGTTCAAGCGAGCCAGCACATCCTTTCCCTTGCCTCAGAGACCACGGTGTGGGCTGGCCAACGAACACAAACCCGGACGAATCTGAGGCGGGTAGCAGCTTAAGCTTGTTAATGTAGCGTCTACATTTCTGAGCAGTGCCTGATCTTTTCTGGTAGTTTCGCTTTGCTTCTAGTTTGGCATGCTCAGTGGCCACGACGAGTGAGATTGGACACCAAAAGAGTTCCAATGGTAGCCTTTATGCTCCACGGATTTGCGCGCGATGTCGGCAAAATCCATGAATTGTGGGGGGGTTACTCCAATCCGACGGGAGCAGGCCCGCCCAGCAGGTTTTCGGGGTGTTTCCCTCCTTAGCATCCCAGCTGGCCTTTGATTCTCTGCAGTAAAGGACTCTAGGATTTGGAAGCTCGCAGCGGCACACCTCGGAACATCGCCACTCAACGACTCGAAGCTTCAAGCGTAAAGCCGATGTCCTGGACCTCGTGCTGGCATCGTGGTTGCACCCGAACTATCACACGTTCCCTCAGCAAGTTTGCATAATCTAAGCTACAACTTGAGGGGCATCTTCTCAGCATGTGCAGTGGCTGGTGCATCCTACCCAAGACTCGAGTTTCATGCCGTCTCAACAGGACATGGGCCAATGCCAGCTCCGGTGCCTTGCAGAGCATGAAAGGCACATACATACATACATACATACATACATACATACATACATACATATATATATACATATACATACACACACACACACAGATGCTTGCATAGGGTCATGCGCACCACAAGACTCTAAGACAGCCATTGTTTCAGTCGGCCGCATCCCAGGTCACCAAGACTGAAGCTGAACTTCTCCAAGTTCGGAGGGCTCATCGTCTCGGTCTACAATCAGGCGGTCAATAACAAGCAACTCGGCACCAGTCGGCTCCGGAAACCCTTGTGGACAAGGATGTGTGGCGAAAGCTTGCGGTGGCAGTTTCGATGCGCAGCATCGTGATCGATAATCCAAGGTTTTCCTGGTTCTTGCGAACCTCGGATTTTGCCCCTGGGCTCATGTGCTGTAGGTCCACTGTTCACTTGCTCAGAAAGAGCCGGACGGAGCGTGGGTTTTGCGAGATTTTCTCCATGACACCCTCCTCGACGCTCTATGTCTTATGTTGGTGGAGCTCTCCATCTTCAGGAGCAGACGCGTGTTCAGTTCGAGTTCGACTTCGTGTGCGAGGCAAGCAAGGATGGAGCATGCGGCAGCTTAAGACTGCCTCTGGTGTGGCCACTGATGCAGAGGTTTGCTCTGAACTAGGCAACACACTGTTTCTTGTTACGTTTCGAAAGTCTCATTACAGCTATGCAGGTTATTCTTGTCGTTGTCGTTCGTGGAAGCCTTTTTCGATTGCGCCATTATTGCTGCATTCTAGCTTTCGACGGTAGTCATGGTAAAGATCTCCATCTATGCTTGCGAGTTTTTGGCTTGTTCCACACTTTTGCGATGTTGCTTGCTATTGTGTGACATTGCGTGCCCTTGCTTTCGTCGATTTTCGTGCGATTAGTGCATGTGTATCATTGCTTCTGTTTTGCATGTGTTGCCTTGCTTTGCCAAGCACGTTTTGTCAATTTCGTCATGATACTGATAACCTGCTACTAGTAGTGCTGCTCCACACATTCCTCGACATCACCATGCAAGCATTAAGCCTTGGGCATCATCATCGCCTGCGGCATGATGAGTATGATCGTGTAGATGTTTTTCCCAGCTTATCCCGACCTCCAGCCCCATGTTCCCTGCCTGGCAAGGCTAGCTCCTGGTGTCACTGGGCAGACTTATTGGACCTGTCTGAGGTTAACGTTGTGCTCCGGAGGTCAAGGTTGTAGATCTCAGGCTTCGAGATTGAGAGTTGAGCTGTTGCAGAGGGGGTGGGCACGGGGCCAGACACGTTTCATGGAGTTTGAATGGTGCAACCTCTCAGGCAAGTTCCGAATGCCTTTCAATGCCTTCAAGCCCGCCATGCCCTCGGTCGTTTCGAGACAATGCGTGCTTGGAGATGCGACCAAAACAGAGAACTCGATAGAGCTCGCTTTGCAAGGAAAGTTATCTCCACCATGTAAATCCGTAGTCATTTAGGCTCAAGCCAATTTTCGCTCAGCACACAGTTAGACGAGCTGGCCGAGAAGAGAAGCGCCCCCCGAGAATGGCTGTAGTCAGCAAGATGGCGCGCTCGAACGGCCGAACTGCCCTTGCCGGGTCTTTGGCGGCTGCCGCCCTCCTTTCGGCCCCCAGTTTCGTTGCCCCAGGAAATGAGGCTCCCCGCCAAATGCAGGCCCAGACTCGCAGCACTGCCGGCGCGGCTTCGATGACCCAGGAGGCCGGCCAGCTGCACAACATGACAGCAGCCGGTGGCAGCGCCGCGGTCATGGGTGCAGTGGCGGCCCTGGGGCCTCGACGTGCAGCCAAGCGCAGCCGCCAAACAGTGGCGACGCGCGCAGCGCAGAAGTCTCCCGAAGGACTCTCGGAGCTCGTGGGCTTGGCAGAGCAGCTCGTTCATCGGCCAGGGTCGCAGCAGCTCTCCCTCTTGGTGCAGCAGCTGCAGTCGTTTGCCTCCGCAGAACTGCAGCGTGGCGCCGCACTTTCGGCCCCCGCAGCCAGGGCCTTCGAAGAGGTAGTGCAAGGCGCCAATGAGGCGCTGGTCAGCAGTGCCGACAAGCAGCTGAAATGGGCAGCCGGCGCTGCAGCGTCGCTGCTGCTGACATTCAGCGTTACCTTGCAGCCTGCCTTTGCAGCGGATGTCGTCAATTACTCCGATTTCATGGAGTCCGTCAACCGCGGGGATGTCGAGATGGTGCGCGTCCAGGACGATCAGCTCTCCGCGCAGTACACCACCAAGGATGGTGCTCGCAAAGAGGTGAACTTGATCCCCAACGCGCAGATTGAGGATCAGTTATTCAACACTCTCGCGCAGAAGAAGGTGGATGTGGTGATGCAAACTCCTGGGGCTAACTCCGGCGGGCCCTTGGACTTTCTCGCACGCTTCGCAGGTCCCATCGCTTGGCTCATCGCAGGTCTGCTCTTCCTCTTCGGAGGAGCCGGCATGGGAGGGCCAGCCGGGCCCGGTGGCCCGGGTGGGAACCCTTTCGAGCTTGGCAAGTCCAAGGCCAGAATCATCAAGGATGGGGACACCAAGGTCAAGTTCGCAGACGTGGCTGGCTGCGATGGCGCCAAACAAGAGTTGGTGGAGGTCGTCGATTTCCTGAAGAACACCTCGCGCTACTCCGAGCTCGGAGCGAAGATCCCCAAGGGTGCTCTTTTGGTGGGACCGCCGGGTACAGGAAAGACGCTGCTAGCGAAGGCAGTGGCTGGCGAAGCGGGCGTCCCTTTCTTCAGCATCTCCGCCTCGGAGTTCGTGGAGATCTTCGCAGGTATCGGCGCCTCCCGCGTTCGAGACCTCTTCGACCAGGCAAAGAAGTCGGCACCCTGCATCATCTTCATTGATGAGATTGATGCGGTCGGCCGTCAGCGCAGCGCCGGATTTGGCCAGGGTAACGATGAGCGAGAGCAGACGGTGAATCAGCTCTTGACGGAGATGGATGGCTTCGAGGCCAACAAGGGAGTCGTGGTTATTGCGGCGACGAACCGAGCCGACATCCTAGACCAAGCCCT